GTCCTTCCAGTGAGAGAGATCATTACTTTGAGAGGTAGCCATTCCCTTTATGGGCAAGTCTCTTCCCCTCCCTTTCTCCTAAAAAACAGTTTGTCCTAATTAGAAGCTTTTATAATTTCTAACATCTGCAAGTATAGAAAAGAATAAAAATATATGCACACACACCTGTGTGTGCACATGGTACTTCTTTCCCTTCAAACATTTGAAGAGAGCTCTCATTCCCTATCTTCTCTCTTAATCTCCTCTCACACTGGGCAGCCTTAGTTTTGTTTGGTCTGGGCTCTTTATTTCCCTCTCCCTGTGTGTGCATCCCATGCTCCAAACTAAAGGTCCTTCTGTTATCTTACAAGATTGTAGTTTAAGTCCACAGTTGTTTGCAAAAATCCCTTGCCTTATATTTTTTTCTTTTTATAGAACTGAAGAAAACTAACTAAACAAACTAAAAATGTGGTATTTATGTATATGAAAATGTGTTGAAGCCTATTTAAAATCAGCATTCAGGGGACATTTGGGAATTTGACATTTCTACAGAATACAAAGATTAGTGAGAGTGACTGCCCTCATTACAATAACTCTCCAACATTTACCAGGCATCAATCGTATCTCTAAAACTGCCAAAATATTGTACTGTTTTTTCCACGTCACTGAACTTTCAAGAACATGATAACTGGGAGAGATATTACCAGCTGATGTACAAAATTTAACTAAAAGGGAAACCAAAACCACTCATATTCATACTCAAGTGTGCCACTGAAGATCTTCAGCTTAAAGACAGTGCTTAATATAACAACCACAGCTTCATAATAATAGTTTCAGGTAATACATATCAGGTCTTATCTCAAAAGACCCCTGAGTGATACATAAAACCATTGCTGATTCATAAAAGACTAACATAAAATCTGATTGTGGATTGAACACTGAGCTTTATTCATGTTCAAGTCTCAAATTGATCGTAATATGCTAGTATTGGTGACATTTATATTCTCATTAACTTCTTTATTCATCCAATCAATATTTAAGAGTATCTATTCTCTCTTAAAAACTACCTTGTTCTCCTAATCATATAATACCACTTCTTAAAACCCACTCTACTCCCCTTACTCTGTTTGAATTGCAGTCATAATAAACATCCTTGTAAGAGCAGCACTGACTTACTTATCTTTATAATCTTTGGCTCTCCTGACCTAAATTTATACATGAGACATTTATTGCACTACTTATTTAAAGGTAGAGGCAAGATGAAAAGGTGTCCTGGACTCATTTTTCTCTAATTTTAATAAATAAACAAAGATTTAAAAGTCCCTGTCCCATTCATAAAAATTGATTATGCCATAATTTGCTAATAAAACATCTACAGTGATGACATCTGGCATTTACCTTATTGAGACACATAAGCCTGATTTCAGAATTGAATCATTTGACCATCACCATGGATGTTGATGAACAAATGTTTATTTTCTAAAAAACAAACAACAAAAAGTATTAAAAGAATCAATTAATCACTTTTCCTATGTTTTATTCTTGTAAACATGTATCATCAGTGTGACCACTGCTCCCTGAGGCCCTGGGCTTGCAGAATGTCCTTCCTAACCCACTCTTCAAACTCTACTCCAGACTCTCAATCATTATTCTTTGTTTAATTTCATCCTGGTTCTTGCAAGAAGATAAAGTATGAAAATGCCAATTTGCTTTTTTACACTTTTTGTCTTTATGAAAAACCGTCATTAATTACTGTAGCCAAGTCCTCATCTAGGCAGTGTTTTCATGTGACAACTCAGTCAAAGCACTTGAGTGAATGTAGTGCTATTTGATATTCATATCATTCACCTCAAGCTGTTTCTGGCCACTCGTTATAAAAGAATAGCATCAGATACAGAGATACAAGGTTTGTTCTACATTTGAATTCCAGTCACTCAGATTTTTTTTTTACATAAGAGAGTCTTTACTTTGGTTGAGATAATGGAAGATGTAAAACAACACCCATGATGTCGATTTTACACAATCATTTTTCAAAAATTAAACAAATAATACTCTATGTATAGGATACTTTACTATGGAGTATAAGCATGATTTTTCCAAAGAAACTGTAATCTAGTGGCGGATACTTGGTAGAAGGACCAAGATCTTGCCTTAAACTGGCCACCCCCAGGTCAGTGCTTATCACAATCACTGCACACATTGAGGCCTTTGCAACAACATGCAGAACCTTCACTTTTCCCCAGGTGGGATCTGGCTCCTCAAAACTGGTACTCTTTCTAGCATCACCAGCAAGGTAAATGAATCTGCAGATCACTGCTCCCTGAGGTCCTGGGCTTGCAGAATGTTGATGCATATCAAACTCTGCAAGGCCTTGGCAGCCAGGATTTTTGTCACTTTTGGTTCTTTGTGGTTTCTCTAAGTCCTCAAGCCCTTGAAAATGTATTACATAACCATTAATTTATTATTGTTCTTTGCCAGGCAATCTAGAACTGACAACAATTTCTTTACAGAATTACCCAGTGAAGAATTTCCACTGATTTCACATATTCCCAATCATTTATACTTTAAAGAGAATTTAAAAGAAAGGAGAGGTTATTGACTGAGGCCACACACAAATCGCAAGCCAAGGGCGTTGAGAGACAAGAGGCAGAATGAGTGTGAGGGCTTAAAGAGAGTGCAAAAGGGCTTAAAGAGCCACAACAGAGAAAGTTATGGTGAATCAGTAAGAAAAATAACAGAGTGCCCAGTGGCAGCAGTGCCTGCTGAAGTCAAAGAGTACAGATCATTCTAGTAAATTGAATAACAGTATGCAGTTTCCCAGCTGGTATCAACCACCGTGTTCCTTGATAACTATCTTGCACAAGTGGTACCTGAGATGTTCCCAAAATAAGAGGGCTTCAAGCTACTCAGTCCATGACAAACCACTCAGGACTGTTTTACCCATTATGATGACTAATTAAGCTATTTCTTTACTGAACTTTCTTTATAAGCCCATCTATTTATTGCTTGTCCTCATCTGTATGGTGAGGTTGTCATGGGAAATTCGTTTTAGATAAATAGTGGACAAGATCAATCTGACAAAATAAAACATATAAAAATGCTATGTAAAACATTACAAATGCATAGCTGAGCTTCTAAGAAAGTAAAGAAAACCTTCAGGGGCCAAGATTGAAGATGACCGCACCAACAGATGTGGTCAGATTGGGGAGCCTGACTGGGAGTTTAACGCTTACCCAGGAACAGAAACTGTGCACTCAGTCAAGGCAATACATTTATACCTTAGATCTCATACTAAGCCAGACTATTGAAGGGTAACACCCCAATAAAATAACAGAAGTCAGCTACCTGTACAAGGAGTCGACTAACTGCTTTCTGACGTGGTGTGGGTTTAGTGCAGTGCAAGAGATATCTTCTGTAAGAATTTGTCACTACAGATTGTGTTTTGAATTTATACAAACTATGATCAGAGAATCTGGAAATGAATAAATTATCATAAAAATGGCCCTACACCAGTAATATCAACATTGCAGTATCTGTTAAAAGCAAACACAAAAACGCCTTTGAAAGGATTTTAAGGGATTTTGGTTGAGAATTTCCCAGAATTGTTAAAGGGCAATCCTCATAGTCAAGCACAACAAATCCTAAATATTATAAACAAAAATTAAAAAGTAAGAATCCAAACTCATTGTGGTGAAACTACAGAAACTTAAAGACAAAGAGGTCTTAGATGGGATCAAAAAGAAAAGATGAGATGAACAGAGATCCCATTTCACCATGAGCCGTATGTACAAAACTGTTTCCCAGCACAACTCTTAGGTTATGGGTTTAAATGGAGCTTTCCTGTATTTCATACACAAGTCAATAGTTTACAAAGAAATATTTTAGAGGATATTAAAATGCTAAACACAATTTAATTTTTTCTTTGATGATGGAAATATATGAAATCTTATGTTGTGTTGTTACATTTGAGGATACCAATGAGGTTACAAAGCTGCTCATTATTAACTGTCATTGGATTTCCTCTAATTGAAATAAAATTTCAGTTTTAAAATAAGGCTTTTAATTTTTAGTGCAGAAATAAAGTTGCATATTTTTTAAAGATTTTATTTATTTATTTTTAGAGTAGGGAAGAGAGGAAGAAAGAGAGGGAAACATCAATGGATGGTTGCCTCTTGTGTGCCCCCTTGTGGGGACTTGACCTCCAACCCAGGCATATCTCCTACACCAGGAATCAAACCGGAGACCCTTTGGTTTGCAGACCAGCATTCAATCCACTGAGCCAAACCAGCCAGGGCTAAAGTTGTATTTTTTTAATCCTATTATTTTTTCTTAAAATTTTGGCACTTCCAATTTTTTAAGGGAAAAAGTGAACCTAACAGAAAGAAAAGTATCTTGATGATGTCTTCTCCTTATTTTCTTTATTATAATAAAATATTGCTATGTCCATAAGTAGGTGAAAATTAACTAAGTATTGTGTGGTATCAGATGTATCTAAAAACAGAGATTGGCCTTAGAAAAATATCACTTGCTGCTCACAATAATCCAATTTACTCATAGAAAAATCTTTCTTACCAGTTGAAGACACCTAATAGTTTATCATGTGTTTCTAAAAATTATCAGTAAATTAAATAAATCTAAATCTTTTGGAACAAAATCATTTAAGCTTTTTATGTTATCTATATTTTCTATAGTAATATATAAACTATTGATTTGTTTTGTAACATTGCCATTCTCTTTGGGAGGGGATTATAGTGTAGTATTTTTTTGAAGGAGGTATAGTGAAATAACTGGCCATTTATATTTACAGTGTGCTTAAAATTAGAGGTTCTTTTTTTACTTTAACCACTTAACTTTTAATGTGGCTTATGAATTTATTTTCCTTAAGATAAATCACTTTTATAAGGAAAACAATATTTTCTCATCACTGTCTATAAGGATTATGCTAAAATAGTTAAAATTCTACTTTTTAAAAGTACAATAAAGTTAAATTGATTTTCTCTTATTTCCTTATATCTTCACAGATTGTGAGTGTTGGAAAGCATGTTAAAGGCTACCATTATATCATTGCAAACTTGGTAAGAACTCTGTATTTTCTAATTTTATAAGAATTTCTCAAGCATTCAAAATTATTTCAATTGTGCCTTAAACTAATGTTCCAATCAATGATTATACTATACTACTTACTAAGCTTTTTATAAGATAGGATAATCTTCTTATTCCAATTATCATTATATTTCTAATGTAGAATTCAATATATTTGATATAGATCAGCTTAATATCTGCCAAAATGACCTTTAAAACTAATTACAATGTTTGTTTTACTATGGTATCACTTGGCAAGTTAAATAATGGCCTTTTCTCTGTGTAAATGATAAATGTGCCACTGTGTGAATAAAGACTGCCAGTACTCAGGGGAATTACAAGAATGTTGGTGCCGCATGTTCTCTAATGTAAAGAAAAGCAAGATAGAAATGGCTATTTAAGAAAGTTTTTATTGTAATTCAAATATTTAAAGTTATGTCAGTTATTCATATATTAGACATAGTTGGATACTGAACTAGATACATGCATCAGTATAAAATTCTTAAAGGCCTAAGGCAAGTGCTTTTAATTCTTGGCAAGACTTTCTAGGTATTTCCTGTTAACTCTGCCACATAGCGGGTAAGCTACCCAAGCAGGAGGCCATTCTCCTTGCTTTATATAAGGACCATCTGCCCCAAGGGCTTAATCTCAAAAGTGGTATATGTTAGAGATGTTCAGAATGTTTTCTTCTTTTTTTTCCCCACCACATATTTCGTTGTTATACACTTTGTCTTTGAAGTAGGAAAAGAACCAAATGCTGCAAAGGGATTGAGACGTATCCACTATAACCATGTGGCAAGTAGGCCATCTTAATTTGAGACAGGAATTTTTCGCTAGTGAATTGGGTTTCACTATGGAGTTGAGATACTGAAATGCAGCAATAGACTATAAAGTCTTATTGTATTGTATTTCTTGAATAAAGTATAATTATGCTACTTAAGGGATTATCATCGAAATACTGAGAAATTTTGGTTTATCTTCTCCATTACTTTTAGTAGGTCTACACTCTGAGTGTTTTAATATAATTTATAAAAATATAAATACATATAAATCTTAAAACTTGTGTATTTTGGTATTAATCACTGTAAGACAAAGAAATCTTATGAGATATCTGCATTCACAATATTATACAAGAAAATTCTAGCAAACAGAGGGTTTTGACATCAATTCTTTCTAAACAATGGAATTCAGAAAAAGAAAGTCAACATGCTATACATTGTCATGCCATAAATGAATTTTTGACATTGCTAAGCCAATAAAAATGGTAATAATTAATAGTTATAACATCTTAATGGATATCACAGCATGTATTAAACAGCTTCAGTAGATGGCAGCATATTAGGTTATCTGTATAATGACTAAGTAACAATGTATAATGTAAAAAAGATGTTGCTTGTATTGCTCTCACTAAAAACAACCAGGCTTTTACCATATGTAGCTGATATTATTATAATACATGATTAGGTCAGTACTTCATACATATCTACATTATAATATAGCTTATTAATATGGATTCTTCTGAAATTCATTTGTCCCGAAAAACTGAGACTTTAAAAAACAGAGTGATTTTTGTTACATTGGGCCAATCAATAGCTACTTCTTGAGAACTATGTGCATAGAATTCCCACATGTGAAGTCAATTCAATATCAAAAGAAAGATTATGTTAACATTATACTTAATGTTGAAAGACTGAATGATCTTCCACTAAGATTAGGAATAAAACAAGGATGTGCCTCTCATCATTTCTTTTGAACATTGTACTGAAGTTTCAAGCAAGTGATATTAGGTAAGAAAAATAAATAAAAGCTGTCAAGAATGAGAAAAAAAGATTGATGTATAGAAAATCCTAAAAAATCTAATAAAAAACTCTAAGAACTAATAAATGGGTTTAGCAGAGTTGCAAAATATAAGGTCAATATAGTAAAATCTATGTATTTCTATATACTAGCAACAAACATTCTGAAAATGAAGTTAAGAAAATAATTCCAACCCTGTCCGGTATGGTTCAGTTGGTTGGATTGTCAACCCATAGACCAAAAGGTTGCAGGTTCAATTTTCAGTCAGGGCACATACCTAAGTTGTGGGTTTGATCCCCAGTTGGGGTGCATATGGGAGGCAAATAATCAATGTTTCTCTCTCACATCAGTGCTTTTCTCTTTCTGCCTGTATCTCTCTCTAAAATCAATAAATATACTTTTAAAAAAGAAAAGAATTCCATTTATAGCATAGCTTACGATTACAATATTCAATTAATGGAGCTACTACTTAACCAAGTCATCAAGACTGATTTAGTTGGAGGGATCAAGATGGAGACATAGGAAGCTCCTGAACATCCTTCATCCCACAGATGCACACATGGAGCAGTCCCTCAGAGAGAAATCCAGAGAGTACCTGACTCGTACACATCAGGCAACTAAAAACATAAACCCATGTCGAAATGGGTAAGAAAGTCTGAGACACATTCTCCATAAACACTATCCCTGGCACAGTGCCGTGCAATTAATTGTGAGAGAATCCCCAGCTTCCAACTTCTCCATGAAGAGTGAAGATTTGGACTACAAATTTAGCACCCTTGCTACTTACAATACAGACTCCCTCCAAAAAAAATATCTACCTCCTAAAGCCAATAAAACATGAATCCAGAAGGCCCAGGCAACTATGGAAAATGAAGAAGCCATTCTTAATGGGTACATGAGCACTCAATGTGGCTATCAAGATGGGCCTCAGGAGGGAGAAGGCAAAAATGCCCATCTCCAGTCTTATCCTGGAAGAGGATTGACTGTTTACATTTAACCTGCTGCCGAGAATCCATCTTCAAGGGTCTAGCTTCATACATTTAGGTGCTGGCTGTAATCCTCCATGGAGCCCAAGGGAGCTGGTGAGCATTTATGCCATTTTCTTTCCTCCAGCTTCCTGTAAATATAAAACCAGGTTGCCAAATTGCCTCTAGCATGAGCTTGTACATATGCCCACCTTGTGCTTATGCTGCCCAAGGGACAACTGAAGCTGATAGCCAACAAAGCTTGCATTCACAAGTCCCACAGGACTGTAGCAAACAATAAAGCAGATCTTGACACATAATGCATGAGAGTACTTGCCAAGGCTATCTCCTCAAGGCTCAGGGTAGAGGTGACAGGCAAAATGCCCATTTTCCAAACTTTTCTTAAATAGGTTTTACCACATACTTTATAAGCTGCTGCCTAAGGGCCAGGCTTATAATCACCTTGTCCTCTCTTTTGGGACACTAACAGAGCTTGGTACAGCCTCAAATACTGGAAGCCACTAAGAACAAAGAAGGCAGCTTGAGGAATCACATAGGTTTCAAAGGTGACCAGGAGCTTAGTCTAGACTAGTCTGCCCAAAAAGAGAGTTCAAAAAAACATTCATAAAGATGCTTCCTGGAGTCAGGAAAGCAACACACACACAAAAATGAGGATTTCAGCAAAGGCACAGAAAATATAAAAAATACCAACCACAAATTACAAAGCTGAAGAACATAATAACTAAACTGCAAAATTCAATATAGGACCAGCAGCAGACTAGATTAAGTGGAAGAAAAGATCAGCTAACTTAAATCCAGGACAGTGGAATTCAATCAGTTAAGCAAAAAAGAAAACAATGAAAAAGAGTGAGAATAGCTTAAGGAACTTAATGCTACACCATCATATGCATTAATATACACATTATAGAGATCCCAGAATGAGAACAGAGAAATAAAGGGGCAAAAAACTTGTTCAAAGAAATGATAGCAGAACATTTTACTAAGCTGAGGAAAGAAACATATATCCAGATCCAGGAAGATCAAAAATACCAAATAAGCTGAATCTAAAGAGGCACACTCTGAGATGCATTATAATTAAATAAAATAAAAACAAAGAGAACATTAAAATAAGTAAGAGTAAAGCAACTTGTTATGTACAAGGGAACCACCACAAAACTATCAGTGTATTTTTTCAGCAGAAATTTTACAAGCAAGAAGAAAGTGAGCTGATATATTCAAAGTGCTAATAGAGAAAAAAATTGTCAACCAAGACTATTTACCTGACAAAGTTGTCATTCAGAACTGAAATAGAGATAGTTTTCCCAACTAACAAAAGCTAAAAGAGTTAATCTTTATGAGTGACCTTACAAGAAATGTTAATGTTTCAAGCTGAAATTAAAGGACACAAATTACTAACATAAAAACATGAACATATAAAACCCAATGGTAAAGATAAATATATGGGCAAATTCAGAATACTCCAATATTGTAATGTTGGTGGGTAAATTACTTCTAATTCTAATAAAAAGGTTAAAAAATAAAGTCATGTAAAAGAATTATAACTACAATAATTTCAAATGGATACACAACATAAAAAAATGTAACATAAAACAAAAGCATAAAATGTAGGAGGGAATATTTACAATTGTAGAGCTTTTGTATGTGTTCAAAGTTTAGTTGTTATAAACTTAAACTGTTATAATTATAATATGTTTTATATAAGCCTCATTGTCACCACAAAGCAAAAATCTATGGTAGAACACAAAAGATGAAGTGAAAGAAATCAAAGCATATTACTACATAAAATCATCAAATCACAAATAAAGGAGAACAAGACAGAAAGAAAGGTACAAAGAACCTGTCCTGACTCGGACCCCGGCCTGCAGTGTCCCCAGTGTTATGGATGAGATACAAGATAAATTCACAGGGACTACAGAGTCCTGTGGAGGAAAAGGGACAGCACAGCTACTCTCTCAAAGGAGAGCACCCTGATCCTTGCCTTGACAGGTTTTTATTGGGTTTCAATTTGCACAGGAATACAGGTAAAGTTCATTAATCATTGTCAGGCAGTAAGGATCAAACAATAGATAGCATACAAAGAACTACGAGTACCTATTCTGAGTCAGGGTCTGTTAGCTAAAGGGCTACAAAACTTTGGGAAACAAACTCATTTCCTGCTCAGACCCTTACCATTTAAGTGAGAGCATTCTTAGCAAAGCAGGTTTCACAGG